CACCTGCAAAATTAAGAAAAAAAATTCAGGAGAAGGCTCACTCTGTAAGTACTGGAACTGAGAAGCAATGGAATGACAAGTAGCTTGAGAGGTTTAGTTAAAAATAATAGAGAGATTTTTTTTCCTATTATTATTTATTTATTTATTTATTTATTTATTTATTTATTTATTTATTTAGTGTAGGGCTTCTACAGAAGTATGCAATCATTTTTTACTATTTATTTAGCATACAGTATGGTATACAATGTCAAGGAAATCTATACATTCTAGTCCTGACAGCTTAGATTGCTAGTTCATTCTGTTTGGCGCTTGCATGTCTATCGCTGGTGCTCAGGGAGCGGGGAGGGGAAGAGAGTAGTTTTACAACTACTAGCTAGTAGCACTTGGATTCCAGGCTCTTCAATCAGTCTAACCTTGCCTTGCAATGCCTTGGTCCAGGTTCAGCGCCAGCTTCGGCTCTCCACGCACACAAACACAGCTAGTTTTTCTCATCAAAATGGTACCCATTCATCTACTCACAATATTGCATGCTTGCCAACTCCTAGGTGGGCAGGAACTAGGGATCAAGTGACAGTAGCTCATTCCATCACCCAGAGCCAGGCTCAATCTGCCAGAGTGCATTTCTGGCTGAAAGTTCCAGTGTCATCAAGCCATTGCATCACCACATCCCAATGTCTCAGCGGTTAAAGATGCTGAGGTTGTGAGCTGGAGCTGATAGCTCAAGTTCGAGACCTGAGCTCCACACAACAGGATGAGCTCCCATTATTTGCCCCCAGCTCCTGCGCATCTAGCAATTGGAAAATATGGAAATGCAAGTACATTAATAGGTACCACTTTGGTAGAAGGCAACAGTATTCTCTGCGCCTTTGGCATATAGCCATGCTGGCCACTTGTCCATGGAAATTGTCTTCAGACAACAGTGGCTCTCTTGGCCAAGAAATGGAGATGGCCACCTTGCCCTAGCCTCCACTTCTCATAGTATTGGTTTAATTTTTCTATTACGGAGTTGCTATCGTATATAATAGAAAAATCTTTTATTATGATGGGAGTCAAGAGACTATTTGTGTACTTTGTACACACTGTAGTAGATGGATGAAGATTTGTGCCTGCTCAACAAAAATATGTTGTGTACAAACATTGAATTACAGAATGAGAAAAAGGCATCTTAAGACATCTGTTTCTATTCATTTGAAGGGAGAGAGACAAAGAGGTCCTGCACTAGGAGTAGCACCCAGACTCTTTCCCTCTATTCAACTCTATTCTCATTGTGAAGAGAAATACAGTGGACAGTTTTTGTCAGTTTCATTCAATATTACACAGAATGCCAACTAACTATTTATGACATTGCAAAAAGTACATTTATGTCTGACTGTCGTGGGAATCATTTTGCTTCTATTTTTATTTACATTAAAAGCAAATATATGTAATATATTTTAAGAATGTTCCTTTTAATCCATTATTGTCTTTGTGATTACAACCTTTTTGTCAGTGATAAAATGTTTTAAATAAATTTCAAACATTCAAGCTTGAGACTCTCCCAATTTAAAATTTACTGAATTAGAAAATACACAAGAATTGCCCTTTTAAAAAATACTGCTATCCTGTATATTGTTAAATCATTATAGTTCTTTCTTATGTACAGCTTTGGGGATGGAGGGTTACAGTCAGTGGTGGGTTTCAAAAAATTTTAGAATCTTTTCTGTAGGTGTGGCCTGCTTTGTGGGAGTGGCTTGCCAGCCATGTGACTGGATGGGAGTGGCTTGCCAGCCATGTGGCCGAGTGGGAGTGGCTTGACAGTTACGTGACTGGGTGGGTGTGACCAACTTGTAAAATGTGGTGAAACTGCTTAGCAACCAAAATGTTGGCTCAGAAATTCTGACATTTGAAGCACGCAAGTCTTAAAGCTGTCAAGCTACAAGACCCTTGCACCCCTAACCCTTTAGAAAAAAAAACCCGAGGTGTTCAAACTTGACAGCTTTAGGACTTTAAGGTTTAGATAGGACTCTTAGAGGCGGGCGGGGTGATTGGTGAGCCAGCCAATCAGTGAGCAGTGGGCGGGGCAAGCGTAGTGCAGACGGGTGGGTGGAGAGACCTGGAACCAGTTCTAAACGGCACGGTAGATTTGTGGAACCTCTTCTATAGAAGAGATTAGAACTGGCAGGAACCCACTCCTGGTTACAGTCCCTTTGAGAAAGGAACATGTTCCTAAAGTATGGGTTTAATCAAAATTTTGTGTTTACTGGCACTTGGGATTTATTAATAAATAAAAAGTAAAGTAACTTTCTTAATAATAATATCAGTAACTGAAAGGAAAAGAGAGCTTTGAAATCATAAACATGCCCGAAATAAAACTTACGTTGAAGAGGTGATAAATAATCTAATACTATTTGCCTGAATAGAAGACAATCCTAAATTTAGTATGCTTCACCACCACCCTATTAATAAAAGCTAGACAGAAAAAACAATGGACAGTTTCATCATCTTGACAAGCTTAGGGATGCCAATTCCAACTCAAATCAATGTAACAGATTTCCTTCCTTTCTCTCTGGCTGCATATTGCAAAATGATTAGGGTTAACTGAATAATTACCTCTCAAATGAATTGCTTGAAAACTAAGTTATCCCACCTACAAAATTCAAATAATTCCCAGAATGCAATGTCACTACAGAAAAGACTATCATAGAACATATTTCTCTTTCCTTCCAGTGGAAATAACAAAAGCAGGTAGAAAAAAATGGTCATATGTGGGTTAAATACAGTATGTGGGAAATGTAAATCATCTTAGTTAGCTGTCAAATATGTTTTCCTTTATGGAATATTCTTCACTGATAATGCAAATCTAGTAGTTGTTAAAAATAGAATATGTTTGTATGTATGCTAGTAACAGTTTTTCATTGCACGTTTCCCACCCTATTACAATCACAAAGAAAAAAGATTAAAAAGGACCTGTAATCATCTTTGAGTGACATGGTATTTATTTAAATGCAGTTGGATCTTTTCAATAATTATAATAATTTAAGCATGTTAAGCTGCTCAAATAGCTTTAAGAAGAAATTTAGTATACATACTTTACAATAAAGTTCTCACCATTTTCCTGCTGCTTTGTAGAACAATCAATCCAATTGTGCTGATTTGCAGACCAAATCATTTCAAACTGATGAAACATCACTTTAAAATTCCATGTAAAGGGAACAAATGAGTAGATATCAGGAGAACTGTCACCACACCAATCTTCAATCAAGTCTAAAAAGTAAGAGAATATGTTACTTCAATGTGTGATAGAATATTAATCTTAACATTCTATCATGCTGACAATGGTATAATTGAATACAACAAATTATATATGATCCAGAATACCTGTAAAGAAGTTTTTTTGAGCATATATGAAGTGGTAAGTAGCTTTATATACTTCAACTTCAGTCTGCCAAAGCTGTGGCATGTTCCATGTTCGGGGATAAAAGGCGTTAATGTGAAACTAAAAAAAGATATATAAAATAGCTACTGTTAACAATGTAAAATTCACAACCAAAAACTGTAACAGCAAAGATAAAACATAGAGCCATTTAACGCCTTTATTAACTTAAAAATCCTTCTGTTAATTACTCATACAAAACTACCTAGCTGAAAATTGTCAAATGCTCTGATAACAAATGTGTTGAAAACTTTGTCCCAGAGATTTCCTTCTATAAGTAACCCACTGCACAGTGATTTTATTTTATAAGGATAGAAACTATTTTGAGATGACCACATAAAGTTTTTTTACTTCCATCCATGAAAAATATGTGACTATTCAGGAAGCACTAAATGGCTGTAACAGGCAACATAGCATGTTTAGTCACCAAAGATGTAGCTCAATAAAAGTCCCACTGAAATATTTATACTTGAATACTAAACAAAAATCCACAAGCAGAAGAGGCAAACCCTGATGAGATTGCAGGTAAATCTGCAAAAGGTCCCTCCTCAGGTTTGAGTTACACAGAGTAAAAAAAAACCCTTATTTAATTTGGGAATGATCATTTATATGAGAGTTCCACGTAATCAAGTAATACTATTTATGTGCAAGTGCCAAATTTGGGGAAATTTTTAATCTTTGATGTGTTTTTTTTCCATATGATTATTATTCAAGAAAATATATCATTGTTCGGATATCTACAATCACTTGGAGCTGCTGTTGAAGTATTTTGAAAGCAAACACAACAGAAATTATTCTCAGAGTATGCATATTACTTACAGCTAACATTTCTGCTTCTAAGAGAGTCCGGAACTGCATACTACTGGTAGCATCTATATGTAAAAGTTGTCCTTTAATAGTGGGACAGTAGCCTAGTAAACAGAACAAAACTTGATTTTATGATTATATTTCTCTTCAAAAGCATCAAAAATATTGGAACTAATTGCCTTATACAGTGGTGTATTTCTCTTAAATGGAGATCTTTAAAGGTAGCCATCAGTCCAAAATGTTTTAGCACTGAATGAAGAACTGGATATCATTTGCAGCCCTCTACCAACTTCACGATTTTGAGGAAGTACCTATTTCTAAAATTATTTCATGCATACTATCAGTAGTAAATATATAACATGAACTGAATCAATTTAAAAATAAACATTTTGGATCAAATGTCTATTTTTAATAAAGGAAAGTAATGTGAATATTACAGATAAATTGTGGATGCAACTTTTTGTAGAAAGTTTTAAGAAATACATATTTGTAGACTGTAACAGAGAATGGGAAATCTAGTTGCATCTTCAGTCATCAACATTTTTAGAATTTATTTTGAGAATTCACTATGTGGCTTACCCTATGCACAGAAAACCTGAATCCAATCAGTCTAACTACATTGGAAGACTAATATTTAATCAAATAATATACGACAAACTTTCTACAATAATACGTGTTGAGATGTATTATGAAATGCTGAGTTTTTAGAAATGCTAATCAATATGTAAGGAACACTACTTCAATATAGTTTACCACAAAGAATATAAAAAATATTTGCTTCAACTTACCATTTTCAGTGACAGTCATGGGAATATTAACTTCCAAGTAAGAACCTGCTCCAACATTTACATGCACTGCATTCGTTTCCTGCCAATAAATTTCAGAATTAGTTCAATTACTTTTATTAACATGATGTCCTGTTTCAAGCTACTGTATCACCATCATACGTAAAAATTAAAGAAAGCAAATATAGTAGAAATAATTAAACATAAAATAAAAATTAGAAACAGAAAGGAGAAAAAATGCTGTGCCCTTTGAGTACATAACAGAGCTGTACATATCAAAGCTGTAAAATTAAATGAACAGACAAAAATCTGGAAAAAAGCAACAGTAAACCATTCCATACTCTTCCAACAAAACCCTCTGTGTGTGTATGTGTGTGTGTGTGTGTGTGTGTGGTGTGTGTGTGTGTGTGTGTGTGTACTGTATGGCTATGTATGCATGTATATATTTGTGGGTGTGTATAAACATATACTTTTTATATATAGGTGTATGTATGTATGTATGTATGTATGTATAAGTATGTCTACCGTGTTTCCCCGAAAACAAGACCTGGTCTTATATTTTTGGGAATAACAAGATAAGCACTAGGGCTTATTTTGGGGGGAACACGATTTCAAGGTGATCAGCCTGACTGGGTGCCACACCCTCCCAGCGTTTGCAAAATGGCAAGTGTGTGGAGGATGACATCTAGCAGCAGCTGTACTCTGCTGGCCTCTAGGTCAGCACACTTTGGAGTTGCGCAGCCCATACAGTGCAATTTGATTACATGTCCAAACAGCACACAGCAGCAGAGGCATGGAAAGGAAGCACACAATCCTGATGCGCCATGTGGGCTGCAGGCAAGCTGACAGACAGTGGGATGGAGTGGGTGGCCAGCTGCAGGGGGCTCGACTCCGCGTCTCTCAGCTTGCCTGCAGCCCGTATAGCGCGTCAGGATCACCTGCCTTTTTGGGGTAGAGCTTATATTAGAGGAACACTCTAAATAATGGGCCAGGGTTTATTTTCAGGGTAGGTCTTATTTTCAGGAAATGTGTGCGTGTGTGTAATAGTCACTAAGAATCATACTCAGCTTGAAGGCTTTAACATTCCCCTTAACAAGCAAAATTCTTAAATAAACTGACTCAAATCAGTTCTTCCTATACTTTGGCAGATTTCCCCCCTTGTTTTCTTAGAATATGGATTAACATTATAGGAAACTAGAGACTAGACATGTCTCTTTATGTTGGTGTGTCTGTGTTTTTATTTACTTTGATATGAAGCAATATCTTGGGTGCAGAAAAAATATTTTTGATCAATTGATCAAGAAAAATATACAGGCATGTATACCAGGTACACAAAATTAAAAATACAGATTTGTTGGAAAATTCAAGAAAACATAATATTCCAATATGAAGGAATGTTTAAATATACTTTTTGCCTTAAGGCTTTCTGTATTGTACTATTTTCAATACTTCCAAAATTAAATTATAAGAAATATTATTTATAAAAAAAATTTAACAGAAAATAATACATGTGTTGCAACAACTGGTGTCAATTTCCCAAGCTTCTAGCTAAGTTATATTTATTTACCCTATTTTTTGTAAAGAGCAAGTCAATAGTAGCATCGGCAATAATATTCATACGTAGCTCAAAAGCAAGGATCTGTCTTAGCTTCCCAGGAATTGGAACTTCTGTAACTTTCATTACTTGATAATCAGGTGGGAAAAAAAATTTCCACAAACAATCCCTAAAAGAAAAATCCAAACAATAACAGTTATACTAAAATAAATGTCAGTCATTTATGAATATTTTCTGTAGTATATTTACACAAGAGCAATACTGACGATTCAGATTCTCTACATGTATATAAATTTACATGTAGGATCAGGATCAACCTACATTAAAAAAAATTTCCCATGAATGAATGAGCCAGGTTTCTTGCATCCTCATCAACCACTGAATCTCTATACATTACTAAAATTCCTCCTTGTGTATAACCTTTAATTGGGTGAAATGGTATATTGTAAGCCAATCATTTCTGAATCAAGGTACTTCAAATGGGGCTAACTACAGAATGCTTTCAAAATCCAAGACCCATGACTCCCATGGAATTAAAATTCAGCAATTTTTATAAAATATTTTATGACATAATACAAAATGTTGTAAAGCCTTTCTTGTTTAGTTTAGTTTACTTTATTGTCACTGCACATCATACAAAATTAAATGCCATTTTCAATGTACATTATAACTATAAAAATAAACACACACACATCCTTCACATTCTATATAATTGAAATTGAAATCGAAATCGAAAACCCGATATTGCACTATACCAGGGGTCAGCAACCTTAAACATTCAAAGAGCTACAAAGGTCCTAACTGGAATCCCCCCATTCAATTCTGGAGGCGACTGGAAGTCTGGTTCCCCCACCATAGAGTCTCTTGCTAGCACAGCATCTTTTAATTCTACCTGTCCTAAGCGAAAGCCCTATCAATTGTGGAGCCAACCAGCGAAAGGGAGCTGCAGCAGAGGGATGAAAGAGCCACATACAGCTCCAGAGCCACAGGTTGCTGACCCCTGCACTATAACATAGAATTCAATATAGTTACCTCCCTGGGGCAGAATCTGTTTTCCTGCCTATTTGTCCTTGTTTTTATTAACCTGTACCATCTCCCAGATGGTATTAGTTCAAAAAAAGTGTGCCCAGGATGATATAGATATTTAAGAATATTTTGAACTTTCTTAAGGCAGCGGGAGCTATAAAGCTCTTCCAAAGAGGGGAAAGGCAACCAATGATCCTCTGGGCAATGATGTTCACCCTCTGGAGTGCTGTCCTATCTGCCACTGTGCAATTGGCAAACCATACACAAGTGCAGTAAGTTAAAATACTCTATATGGTGTAGGTCACCTGCAGTTTTTCATTCAGTTGTTTCCTGAGAAGTCTCAGGTTGTATAATCTCTGCTGAGCCCTTTTGACTGCAATGTGCTGCAATGTGAGTGCCCCAGGTCAGGTCCTTTTTATGATAACACCCAGAAACCTAAAACTGGCCACTTGTTCCACTCGGTCTCCATTGATAAACAAGAGCTGGATGTCTGATCTATTCCTTCTATAGTCCACTATAAGCTCCTTGGTCTTACAGGTGTTAAGGACCAAGTTATTGTCTCCACAACCGGTCCAGCTCAGCTTGGTGTCAGCCCCTGATGTAGGACTGTGCTATAGACTTCAACAGAGACTACATTCAAGGCAGATACAACTCTGAGTATCTCCCTGAATTTTAAAGAACTTTTCCAATTTGTCAGAAGCTCTGCCATTGTTGAAGGCATTAAGTAAGTAATCCAGTAAGCAAATATCTGTGAAATGAACTGGGGGGGGGGGGGGGGAAATCATCTAGTACTTCATAAAGATTAGATTGCTAAATGAGATCTTGCAATCAAAATCTTTGAAGAGGCATACTTGCCTGTTAAAATATATAAGACATGTATTTTGCCTTATCTCTGGATTAACACCTTGATCTTTTTCAACAGTGTTTCCATGGAATCCTAGGTTTCCGCAGGATGTTTTTTTAAAAAAACATTTTTAACTATGAAATCTATATTACACAAACATAGTAGTGGGAATTTTTATTCATTGTAATTCGTCTGTTGGCCTGCCACTTTTGTTGTAAACGTAACACCTGGATTGTGTATGTCAGAAGTGAATTGTATTGTGAAGTTTTCTTATTTCTTGCTATTTATTTCAATAATTCATTCAAAATAAAAATGTAGAAAAAAGTTAATATAGACCAAATTAATAAATGGATTTCATTTTCATAATTGTCAGATGTTTGGTCACTGGAATGGTAAGTTTTATTTTTAAAAAGCCATTTTATGATTTTATAAGTTTTCTAAGAACAGCGGGAACAAATGTTTTTTTAATGAAACATAATTTCTATATACATATACAAGAATGAACAGAACATCTCCACATGAACTTTATTCCACATTTTTCATTTTCTCTAGCATAGCCATTTTAAAAATGACAACACTACCTTTTCCGGTCAGCCCATGGTCCATAATTAAAGTCTGTTCCTTTGCCACAAACAATATCTAATCCCCAGCATGGTGGTAAATCTTGCAATTTGCTATCTTCATTACTTGTCTCTCCCTCATTGCTTTCATCAGTTTCTTCTGGTACAACACCTGTATTTTGGGAAACAGTTCCCTCTGTGATATATATTCAAATAACTCGTAACTTGAAGGCTTAATTAATGAATGGATCATAAATCCAAGTACATAAAGGACTAAAAGACATTTTACACCCTACTAAAATTAAAAACCAGAAATATAAAGATATTACCAAAAATTCTAACAAAATGTATTGAAATATTTTGTACTGACCTTGAATGGTAAGAAAATTAAGAGTTTAGTCAGTAAAACTAAGAATTTCCCAGACATCATGAAAATCAACATTTACTTAAATCCAGCTATGTTGGTTAGTATTTTCCAATTGTAAAAAAGCTGGCAAAAAGCACAGAAGAAAAAACCTAGATGCCTCATAGCTATATGAAATTTCACTCTTCTTGAAATCTAGATCTGTTACACAAAGAAATCTTACAATTAAACAGTCTTGAAATATGGACATGCACTCCAATTTTAGACGTATTTTTGCTACTATTTTCATCAAGCAATTCCTGCCATTTTATATTACCAAATGCAAAACCTAATCTAATAATGGCATAATTATAAACATTTTAGAGAGGTTTTTTTAGGGGGGGAAAACAGCCGATGGTTTGGGCTGATGAGCTAATTTACTTAAAGATCAGTTAGTAAACTAAGCAAAGTTTTGAAATTTGCAGTTCACTCTCATAATCACTGTACAAGCAGCAACTCAAATAATCAGATGATTTAAAGTTAATTGTTCAATAATAAAAGGCCATTAGTAATAACTCTATAGCTTTTTAGGATAGAGTCAAACTGGGTACCAATCCATGACGAGGAACTAAGTCATTTTTTTAAGTTAAAAAGCAAGGCTAAATTGAATAAAAATGGGAAGAGGTACTCTCTGTAAAAGGGAAAGGTCAATTATTCTAGGAATCTTTCCAGTTCAAAACATTGGGAAAAAAACTAAGATCTTGAAAATTGTTATTATACTTAAATGAGAAGATTCACACTTACCTGGTTCATCCATATAGTAATAGATGTCAACATCATTTGACTGCATCACAACAAAACCTTCGCCCATTAATCTTGGAGGCCTGTTATAAAAAAGAAATAAAAAATGGGAAGGAAAAATGTAAACACTGCATTTATCAATGGGATTCTAGTCTATGGAAATTTACAATCCATATTCCCTAGCAAGCCTAAATTTCCCCGGGGCAGGGGGGCGGTGGTTTGGAACAACCATACTAACCCCATTGCTTATCTCGTTTCAGGAGCTAATCGTTGGTTAAGGGGAGGCAGCCTGTTAGCCTTGGGGTCATCTTTAAATTGGAATCTTCAGGGCTGTCACAGCAGCGGATGGGCAAGTTGTGGGAATGGGTGGGGGTTGTTGGAGACAGTGTGAGATGTATAGCCATAGCAACATTTTTCCCTTGGGAGTCAAAAACATTCAGTCTGCACCTGGAGTGGCGTGACTGGGAATCATCTACAGTTGGGACAGTGACCTGATTGGACCTTGTGATACCCATGTGGATGCAAGAGAAGGAACATTGACTTTACTTTGGGTGGGGAAAACCTGGAGCTTTCAGATTCGGGTTTTCCCAGATGTGCCAATATGATATATCTAATAAATTCAAACTTTGAGGTAAATGCCTGCCTTGGGAGTTTGGGTTGTGTTGGGGTATTACTTGGAATCCTGACAACTGCTACAAGACTTCTAATGAAAATTTCTGACTATTAAAAGTTAAGTTATAGCCTTTGTTTTTCTAGTTAACTCACTTAAGAAAACCTTTAAAAGGTTTTTCAAGCAATATAAAAAAATCTGTATTTTTCTCACGCTTGGACTCATCCAAAACATTGTTTAGTAACATATTGATAAACATATTAACATTTTCTAGTATTAGTATTAACTAATAGTAGTATTAGTATTAGTATTAACTAAATTAATACTGTATTAAAAATCTTTATTTTATTTGCTTCAAAATAAAGATTTTAATTGAATTATTTGAAAGCATACATTTTTAAACTTTAACATGATAAAATTATTGAAGTGTGGTAGAGAAAGTTTTTGTAGCCAAACTAAATTTTTAATTGAAAAATTTTCACAGTACAATTTAAAGTTTGATTTAATTTTTTTTTTTAAAGTTCTATCCTGTCCTAAATTTCAGTCACTTATTAATAGGTTTCCTGTTAAAATAGAACTTAGATGCACTCTGAGAAAACATAGCACTATTCTTTTAAACAATATGCTCTGGTCATGATAATAAAGATTTGGCTGTAATTAATACTTATCCTCTGCAAAGGGATAATCCGGAAAGTGACCATGAAAAAAAACAAAATCATGAGTTTTGCTAGGAGATCGAAAAGTTATGCCTAGCATATAGGAAAGCACTCAGTAAGGCAGGTCTCATTCTCCTACGTCATTTTATAGAGACACCCATGACACTTCCTTAGAATTGTAAATTACTAAGATTCCTTTATTCCCAAATGGTTAGATACCCCACTTCTATATTATACGTTCTATAGTTTTAACTTATTATACTTACTCATCATTTTGAAGACCAACATATCTTGGACTTGGAACAAGCATAACTCTCACATTTTCCAGTTTTCCTTTTACAATGTGCATAAACTGATCCAGATGGCTTGAAGGTGGCTTTGTGGTATAAGTTAAGGAAGCATCATCAAAGTTAATGCATATAGTCTGAGGCAGATAATGATTTCCAAAGGCTAAGCGGCCCTAATTTAAAAGAAAGACAATCTCATGTTAGCTCTTAATTCTTTGGTAGCAAGACATTCTTTTTAAACAATTTTACTTATCATTTAAAATAAACCATATATATCACCTATTGAAATACATATGAAATGATATGCACATGCACACCCATATTTGAATCATGTCAACTAAATAAGGCTTCTAAGATCAAAATGAAATATTATAATGACTACTGAAGAAAGTGATCTTCAAAAAGCATAGAAAATCTAAAATACAGATGATCAGATTTTACTTACTGTGCTAACATTGACTTTAATTATGGGAATAAGAGATCTCCATGAAGATGAGGGGTCAGAAGAATCACTTTTTGCTTTGACACTGAAGGAAGAAAACAAATTAAGTTTAAGAATTCTGGGAGTTGAAGCCCACAAGTCATAAAGGGGCCATAGTTCCCTACATCTGTCTTAGGCCAGTAATCCCCTGAACATGCTCTCACCTTCAACTGCTGTAATTAGGCTAAAATATGAGGTAAAACAAAACACTTGCAGGCAGTTCCAGTAATCTTTTAAGAACATTTTCAACTGTATTATGCAAAACCTTTCAAAGTAATGTCCCGCCTTTTTCTGAAATGCTATATTGCTACAATGTTTAATTAATTTTGGCTTCAATCAAGACAAGAAAGAAGAGAAAGCAGAAAGATTATTATTTCTATTCCACCTGGGAACATTCTCCAAATGATTTTCCAAGAATCAGAAAATCACCCTGAATAGCAATAGCAATAGCAGTTAGACTTATATACCGCTTCATAGGTTTACAGCGGTCTACAGAGTCAGCATATCGCCCCCACAATCTGGGTCCTCATTTTACCCACCTCGGAAGGATGGAAGGCTGAGTCAACCCTGAGCCAGTGAGATTTGAAACGCTGAACTGCAGATAACAGTCAGCTGAAGTGGCCTGCAGTACTGTACTCTACCCACTGCGGCATCTCGGCTCTATAACTGAAGAGTTCTATGGTACAGGAGCTGGACAGAAATTAGGTATCATCAATCCCAACACATTCAGAAGATATCTTCAGTCTACAGGAGAGGTTTTTCAACAGCCTTGGCAAGATTGATTTGGTAATTTTATCTTCCTACAGCCCTCATTTCAGCATTTCCTAGATTTTAAGGGAGGAGTTTTCTTTGAAATATATTTATCAATATTAAATTGACAGGGACAATTTATGTATGTCTGTTTTCTTTTTTTCTTTTTATGCACTTTTATTTTGGTGTAGTCTTGTTTTACTTTCTTTTGCTTTTGTATATATTTTTTCTTTTTTTGGAGTTTGTATTTTAATGTTTTAAATAAAATAAAATAAAATAAAATAA